ATAGTGCGAATCGACCCTTGACATTTCTCCAGTTTCGCGTCCCTCGAACGTTTCGAAACGTTGTATCCGATTCCCGTCATCGCAGACACAATGGTAAATATTACTGAATAGCGAACGCTGTAAATACGTTTAGCCAAAATCCAAGATCCGGTATACCAATATAATATTACTTTTATAGGTATATATGTGTACGCATATAAATAATAATATTGTAACTACTGACTGTTTGAATGTCGCAAAAAAAAAAAAACCAGATAAAGTCGTAAACGCGTTTGCACATAAATCGTGGTCTTAGTGACAGCGGGGCCATGTGTTGAAAACGACGAGAGACAGATGAACGTTGAGATAAGGGACTCTACGGAGGAGCGAAAAGGCTGCAACCCCTTCGTCGTAATAAAAGGGCCGATTGTACGGGGCAAAGGTGTTGTGCCCGAATGCGAAGGGGTCGGACACTCGGTCTCGGCGGCGTTGTGTTCACGTGCCCGGTATAAGTGGTTACGTCTAGTCGCAGAACAATCTATAGTATACTGTATTAAAATTATCATATCATTGTAATTTCCATCGAGCGTGTAATGCAAACTGTATAATATCAAAAATAAAGAAGACGGACACGCTACTGTTTTAGGATCGAAGTCGAGAGGGAGGATACGTAGGGTAAATTAATTTACACCTATACGCAGTGATCAAAAATTTCTGATAAAAAACGATTCAGAACAGCGTATCGTGTTAATCGTATTTGCTCCCTTGTTGGCAAAACAAATCTGGAAATCGACAATATATCCATAAAATTCCCGTTTATCGAGACAACTGCGAGCGAAATCGAAAATTGACTCCCCCAATGAACCGTCCAGATCAAAAATGCTCCACGGAAATGATGTTCTTATGAATTGATGGATCGGAGAAAGATTTCTCGCAGAAAAATTGTTTATTCAAGTACGAAAAATAGTTCACTTCACTCAGAATCTTATAGACCAGATATTGCTAACGGATGTGCAATTTTTGTGGATGAGAAATAAGAAAGTAGGATACCTATGTAGAGGAATTTATATCCGTTCGCAACGAAAAACTATTGACGACGAAAAACGATTCGGAGCGACGTTTCTTTTAAACACATACATAATTTTCACCGTTTTTTCTACATTTTTTTCAGGTTTATTATGAAATCGCTTGGAAAACATCGAAAAATTACCTCCATAAGGTAACACCCAGATAAAATTTCCTTTCAGAAAAGATATAAGTACTGCGCTCGAAAGTCGAAGCGAGATTTCTCGTAGAAAAGTCGTTCAGGTATGAAAAAAAAAAAAATTAAAAAAACATTATTGCAAAATCGATACATTCCCAGGATATGCTCCGATTTAAAAAAAAAAAAAAAAAACAAAACAAAATTCATATTAATGTTTAAAACTATTATAATGCGGGCGGGCCGTACGTGTATCGAAAGAAACGCGTGTTCACAAAGTCGACTACACTACACTACGTTAGAATAACAGATGTTTACACAGATTACAATATTTCGTATAGTACTATTTACGTTTCTATTTTTGCACCGCAGCTCCCCCCCCACCCTCCGAACAACGTAATTTTACACGCGCAAAGGTTTTACGTGGCATTATCGCAAGAACAAAATAACACCGATGACTCGACACTGCGTCGTCGTCTCGAAATTTTCGTTGCGCATGTTAAGATATTAACACAGTGTACCTGCAATGTGTCCGCGTTTCCATGTGACGGGGGGGTTGGTAATATAAAATACAATATTTAACGTAGATTCTCAACCACTACACCACTACGTTAAGTGCTCGATACAATAATTACTTCTATTGAACAGCAACGCCTAATTTTGACACTTGATTAGAATAGTCTCTTATTTTTTTTTATTTTTTTATGAAAAATCATATCAGATAATTGTTTTTAAACCCAATAAAAAAAAAACCCTCATCCAGCCAAAATATTTAGTGTACCCTGGTAATTCAAACACTATAGATAAATTATATTCAATGTGTTCCAATCCGAAATCGACGTTATGACGTAAATAGTATTATTATTATTATTATTTATGGAGTTATTCAATCGATAAAGGTGTTGAGTTACACAGTTTATAGTTTTTGTTTGCAAATAATGTGTTCAGAACGATTAGCGTAACTATTTTATTTTTTATTTTTTATTTTTTTTTTTGATAAAGGTGTTTTATCAGTATCATATGTTTAATAATGTAACACATTTAGGTGCCAACTAATATTTTACAGTAAATTTGTAGAAATATTTCGAAATTTATATCAAAGTCTTATTGGATACCAATTTATTTATTCTTAATGTAAAAAAACTTTTTAGAATATAGAAAGTTTTTGATTCTCAGACGATTTTAAAAAAAATTTTAGTTAATTAATACCTTTAAACCGTTTATCCGCTGATCCCTCCAGTTATTGTACGAACATCTGGAATGATGTAGAGAACATATATTCAGCTCCGTTTCTGATTTCAGTACCAAACTTTGACAGTATTATGGAAAACTACGAATTCGTACGAGTACCCAAACGTGTAGAAAAAACGCGGCTTTCCAAGGGTATGCCATGGAAAAGTTTTCCCAGCACTCGCTTTTGATCATATACAATTTTCGTCGGTACAGTTTTACGTAACGTTTATTCTTTTAGTACAACTCTGTGAACAAATTAAAAAAAATGAATGCACCTCCCTGAATATGGGGAAAAATCGCTTTTTAGAAATATTATTTCAAAAATAATTGAGAAATAGTACACATGGGTAGGTCACAATAAAAAAGGAAAGTTATGGTTTTCAGACGGAAAAGGATATATAGCGTAAAATGTAACATTTTTATAATCACCCTAACAAACGAAAGTAATATTGTTAGATAAGACCGTATACAGTGAGGAGTAGAGGTTCAACACCTCCCGACATTTATATAGTGGGTATATATTTATAATATAACAAACACTAACTATACAAGTTCACGTATTAAAAATATTTTAAATTCACTTCGAAAATTGATCCTTAATGCGTGCTCGCTATTAGGATGTGGCGTTAAAGTGTTGACGAAAACGATCTTACATATTCAATAAAATTAAAAATATAGCATATAATTATATGCTCTATTTTGCTCTAACTTTTGCGTAATATTTTTAAAAAAAAATCCTGCATAATGCTCTACTTTTTCTTTTTGACCACAAAATTAAACTCATGATAATTTGATCTCGTATTAAATGTTCAAGCGTTTTTATCCGGCCAAAAATGTTATCCAAATTCAACTAAACAAAATATCAAATATCAAATGAACAATGTTAGCACTTTTTCTGAACGGAAATCTGATTGGGATTTGTTAACTGAATGACGCAAAAATAATAATCGAAAAATATTGAAACCGCTATTGGCGTAAATTTTCCCGTTAGTCCCTACATTTTTTTCACCGTTATTAAAAAATCTTCACAAAACACGAAAAAAATAAACAAGCGCACATCACGGTAAAAACCAATGGGTACTTTCCTCGTTCCATCCCGGAATCTAAAATGCGACACAGTAAAACCAACATAATATTCTTTTCTGCATTAAGTATCTGAACAAAAAAAAAAAAAATCAATCCCGCACATCAGCTATTTATTGGTATTTTTTTTTCTCGCGGTCAGCCAATGAAATCTCGGAGATCACCCCGAAAGTACTAACGCGTATGATAAAAATATTATAAAACATCCTAGCGCGTTGAACGCAAACATGACATGGACACACATGAAGGGGGAAGGGGTTGCTAGGGGTTCTTAAACACCGCCCTCACCACTGAAAAAACCCAATCGACTCTTCCGTAGTGACGACAAACGCCGTTTCCTCGTATTTCATAACTAACGAGTAGAACAAAGTACAGATTTTCCACACAGACAACGCGTGATGTGTTTGAAAAATAATGTTAAAATAGTTTTGATATGTACGTAAAATTTTAAACGAAATGCGTAGTTTACTACTGTAAGAGTCGTGTAAATGGGATCGTAGGGGCCTAGCGAGTCTTTGATGTGCCCGTAATTTTAGCATCTTCCACCCAAAGTTGGCGGTCTAGTCGCGTCTGCGACACAAGATATATTATTGCGACGTTCCGACGGCGGGCTTGAACCGTAAAAAAACAGGAGAATAGGCACGATGACGTGTCGTTTCGTCCCGGAACCCTGTCTCCCACCTCCGCCCCCGACGACGACGTCTCGTCGCTCGAAAAACCCGCGCACAATCGTTTATTATTGTTGTTGTTGTTATTATTATTATTATTATTATACCGCGGTATACTTACGCGTCTCCGACCGCCAAACCGGTTGCCCAACGTCAAGCGCAGCGGCCGAGTCTATTTATATAATAACGGCGATGACAAATGTCCACTGCTACCGGGTCCCATTGTTTCCGGTCCCGCGAACCGGACGTGCCACCGGTCACCAAGAAAAGAGTTATACTGGTACCTATAGTATTATGGGTGTACAATATAATATATTTATTACGGAGACGGTCGGCTCCGTACCGATCGGTCCGGCAGATACGTCAAAAAGTCTATCCCCGCCCACCTATATTATGTTAACAGTCGTCGATTCATTCGGTTGCGAAACCGCCATTTTTTTTTTTTTTTTGACGTCGATTAATCAACTGGAGACGCGCGCGCACGCACACACACGCACACACTTACACACGCAAACAAACACTCACGAGCGTGTGTACCGCGCGATGTTCTGTGTCGCAAGTCGACCGTTCGAATATTATCATTATTATTATTATTTTATGCGATGAGTTTCGCAACGGTTCGAAGAGCATCAACGACTGCGACGCCGTTTCGTTTCCCGACACGGCCGTATTATTGTGTCGCGCGAAAAGCGATTTTCAAATAACGATACACGAATATACGCGTATATCGTGGACAAAACACGTTAACTGCACTAGGCATACTATATAACAGCACACCGTACTATATTACAATAATGATTGTATATTTCAAGAAAAAATTAAAATTCAGCACATAGCGAGAAAATTACGTGATTTTATTGTATTCAAAGTGTTGCTATACATGTAAACTATAATAAAATAAGCCTAGAAAAAAAACAACACAAAAATACGACGAAATCGTGTATTGTGTGCATTTAATTACGGTTAGTTTTTATATAAGTACAAAGTAATAAAAAGTAATGTAATTTTCAGCTCTTGAAACGGACACCAAACATGAAAATGTACACGAAATTCACTGCACGCCATCTGTAATCCTAGTTACGAATGTTAGTAATTTGGAAATTTTTTCGTAAATCTTTTTGGGTACACTGCCCACTCCAAAAAATCGTTTCGCCTTTCCTGTAACTAATTCTTTAGCCTGTGAACTCGACAACTTTAAGTTGCTTTTATTTCGCACTGGTGGAACTTGTTGATTTTGATAACTTGGTTCGTCTGCATCCCCTGAGTCGCTACTTTCGGTTAATTCGACTGTTTGGTCTTCTGGCCAGTAGATAAGAACGCCTGATGTTTCTAAACGTGTTTTAATTTGATCTGATATATCTACCACCGTTTTTCCATTCAAACTTAATTCATTCAAACAGAATTTGGCATGAATAGATGTTAGATAATTTGTCAACATCATTACAAAACCCTCATAATTGCTATTAAATGAATTATTATCAAATAAAATTAACATACCTAATTCTGAAAATGTTTTACAGTCGTCGGCAGAAGTAGCTCCACGTCTTCCCTTAATCAACTTAGAAATGTTACTTGATGCTTTACCGTCGGGTTTATCCTGTATACTAGACTGTTTCGCTAAAAATGCGTTTTGCATATGTTTATGTAAATCGGCCAATAAACAATAAATTGCAGCGATTGCGTATTTATAACAAATATCGTAAAACGCGTATAAATACGAATAGTGTAAGATAATGGAAGTTATGTTAGTGTAGATCGCTTGGATAGTCCAATGTCCACCTTTCCAGTAGAAGAAAATTAGCTGATTTTTATCGCTGAAATTGATAGGGGCTTTAACGAGAGCGTTGTAAAATCTAGCTAATCTAAAATAACGGATGGATATATTTCCAGTGCGCTTTTTTTTTATTTCTACCAACGATGATTCAATATCTTTGTTAACCACGTCCATTTTAAAATTGAAATTTAGGTTGTTGAATAACAACAAATTATATTCTGGAGTATTACAGTAAGCCAGCGCGTACTCATTAAATCCGGTCATAATTACATTAAGCAGTCGTCTTATTTCGGCAATATTAGAGTCACGGAAAAGTCGTTCACCATTCGTTTCTAAGAGGGCCACTATGTAAGTTGCAGTTTTGAAAATAGGATGAATCAAGGATGGGTCATCCTCATTCCCATTATTTACGTCGATTAATTTGTCCATAATGTAAATAAGCATTTGTTTTGCTTCATTAAAGTATGTTTTATTAATTATTTTAGTATATATTTCACGAGATTTGTTAAGCGCTATGATTATTTTAAACCAATAGTGAAACAGTCCCTTCAAAAATTTGCACCCCTCTTTGATTTTAAAATCGGGCTTAGTGCTTTTTGAAGTGATAAATCGATCAAATGTTCCTACATTGCCAGACCCGTCATACGGATTCACAATGATGCCCTCCACAAACAAATTAATTTTCTTCGGATTTCTCAGGAACGGTATGTAGTGTTTGTTGTACTCGAAATTCAAAAATTCAAACAGCTGAACGAAACATTTAAAATCGGGAGCATCATCGGGTTCTGTCAAGGCATTTAACAGAGATTTGAACGTAGACAAAGGTAATGAATATTGGTTAGTATTATCTTTTACAGTCCAATCCTCAGAATTTTCATCGAACATAAGTAAACCATTCGGTAATTGATTCATAGCGATTTGTTCATCAATTATTTTAGAATTGGGATCTGCATTGGTTACCAATTCAATTTCCTCTAACGATTCTAGATGGTTTTGTATGGCGTCTTGAAAATATTGTTTTTGAATTTCAGTTTCGGTCGCTAAAAGTGAAAAGAAATCGATTATTTCTGTTGATAAATTAGGAAATTTCTGTAGCGTGAAAAAATCTGCTAATTTTTTTAATCTCAAATGAATATCGGCATCAAACTTAGGTTTTTCGTTTATCAGTTTGGTACCTAAGAGTTTCATTATTGTTTTAATCATTAATTCTTGATACCAGAATATCACTTCCAATTCGTACGATTGTTCAATAATTCTTTTAAAAACATCCTTAACATAAACGGGTCCGAATTCTGTATTCCATTTCGCATGGCCCAGTTCTCGTGTAAGAATATGTTCAGGGTGCATCATTATATTTCCCAATAACATGTCTTTTAAATTGCAGCGTTGCGTTTGGTCGGACTCTATTACATCCGAATTTATTGTTACGAAAAATACGTCCATGTGATTTTCTTTATAATAATTAAATTTATGGGAAATCCAATAACCGTAAAACGGGTTTTTGTCGTAATAAACCTCCGAAAACTTACAGTTCAAAGCTCTGAAACTTTGAATAGCGTTGATTTCTTCAACAATAATACGAACTATGACATCGTCGTATCCTTGGTAAAAATTTCCATTTTCGTCGACTTTACAGTTACTCAATGTCGTTTTCATAAAATTAATTTTCATGCTCAACGATAGTAGCGATTTCAGTAACGTTGTGTCAACTAATGATGCGTACGTAAATGCGTCTAGTAATTCGAATAATATTTGTATGAACCGTTCGACGTATTTTAAAATTATATTTATTTGGTCGATCATTTTTTGATTCAATAATCCAAACACGTTGTTGAATACATCTTGAAACGACGAATGAAATATCAACGGGAAAGGTTTTAGAAATGCGTACAGCTGGTGCTGAGTCCAAGCGGCAAATTCGCAGTTAATGCAAGTGTATAAATGACTCACACGAGAGCCTTCAAATTCGTCAAGGGAATATGGATTATATAAGAACACATTGTACTCAAATTGTCCAAATGTTACTACACGCTCATTAAATATATCAATCAATAATGTTTGGAATTGTATTTTTTTATTCAAATCTGAAATACTAACCGAACCTATTTCGCCGTATTTTATTGTTACTAAACACGAACAAAAAAATAAAAACTTATGTACACTCCACATTTTCAGGAAACAACGTACGAGTGAACAGTTGAAACACTCATTCGGTTATACTACTTGTACTCGTATATGATGTTATACCAACTATAATACGGTTCGTCTTATACACGCAAGTGTTTACTTAACGAACCAAGGAACCAATTGTGTTTGGAAAGCTGTAATTGCACAGGATAATGGTTTTCAAGCTCTATGCGTTCCGTAAACGTTATACCACATCTGAAATAAATATTATAGATTCACGTACGAAATACATGTGTAGGTAACAGATTTTCGTTGGAGTTGTTTTTTTCTTTCACTCGTTAAAATATTGTATTACTATTCTTCCAATGCGTAACACACGAAATCACGGCTAATAAGAACTAATAATCCGATCAAAAGTTTGTGTGTTGTTATTTTACGAAAGTTTTTCTTCGTATTTTATAGAATTTTAAAGTTTTCGTTTTTTTCTCATTCGAATATTGAATAATAAATAATAAAACATCAACATGCAAGGTCAGACACGTCATACTGTACAGTCGTATAGTACTACCGGCTGTATTTGATATGCCACCCGATGTGTTTAAAATATTGATAAAAAAAAAAAAAAATGACTATTATTATAACCACCTTCCACTATTGGTATCGGTTCGGAACGAACGCAATTACATGGTATCGGTTCGGAACGAACGCAATTACAAAGTAAAACAAGTACTTATATTAAATATGCTAATAAATATGATATAATAATGTTGAGCAAATAACCAGAAAATTAAATAAAAATGTTCATAGATATCGCACCAATATTGAAAATTTTCAATTTTAAAATCTTGGTGGGTTTCCTTTTTTTTTTTTTTTTTCGATAGCGGGATCTGTGTTATTATTATATTATTACGTTTTCAGATGACAAAGTAAACTTATTTTACTGAAAAATATGACGTGAACGATTCGGCCATATTACAACGGAATTCTCGCATTAAAACATTTTTAAAACATAAACGCCGTGTTGTTAAAAAAATGGTTTCCTAAACAAGTTACACGCTTTTGATATATTGCCGTGTTGCACTCACTGTATGAGATTTAGAATCAGCTGTTATTTAGACTGCACGATACAAAACAAATTAATATTCACGTAACAATGACATAATACGTCATATATTTTTACCCGATATAATATCTGATAACCTGCGCCCTGCGAGCTGAACAAATATGGAAATGTGAATGAATTTGAAGCGCCGTCTCTAATCGATCTTACGTACTCAAGTACTTGCTGTATTTTTTTTATACACTTTTCGGGAGCACTCTTCTTAAACATACGTTTTTTTATATAATTTAAAAAGCGCGTTGTACATTTTAATACTAATTTACTCGTTCACGTGTAAAAAATATGAGACTTCGTGATATTTCCTAGTAGCATTTTATTTAAATTACACTGCTCGCTTTCTTCATATTCTGATTTCAACGATTTGTGCGAAAATTGTCTATGTATCCTGGATTATGATAATCAGAATTTCTGGACATCCAGTAACCATACAACTCTCTTGTGTCATAACGAGTAAACGGAAATGCACAATTTAAAGCTCTAAAACGTTCAAGAACTTCAAGAATTATACGAACAATGATATCGTCGTATCCTTCGATATCGTGTATCTTACGCGTCTCCCGGATTTTGCAGTTATCCGATTTCGTATTAATATCGTGGTCAACGATAAAAACGATTTTAATTTTGACGTATCAACCAATGACAAGTAAGTGTATACGTTGAGAAATTTAAATAATATGTATACGAATCGTTCGGCGCATTTAATCTGTCGGTTGGTTTGAAACGTATTCGGAATAACGTTTCAAACCGATAAATTAATTATCAACGTACAAGGCTCAATAAATATATACGGCCGGTGCTGGGTCCAACTTGTATTATGCTGTGTTACCGTGTTATGTGCGTGATTCGCTAAAGTCAAAACTTTACTCGTAAAGTTGTCATAGTTTCTTTTTATCATAGCGATACACGAGCATAAAAATAAAAACGTTTCGATAAGCCACATAATCGCGAAACAAAACATCAATACTTACTAGTTATTATTCCAAATACACATAATATTCTATAGTTTTAAACCGCTATACAATACGGTTCGTTTTATAAAAATAAATGTTCACTTGATAAATATGATTCACCAATCCAATTGTGTTTGTAGAGGTGTTATTGTACCAAACGGCATTTTAATACCGCAAAAAAATCCACATCTAAAATGATTATATTGCATCTAAGTAAATAAAATAACTGTTTTAAGTATTATGCTTAGGTACAGTTTTTATTTTCGTTAAAATATTTTATGTCTATAATATATTACGCGATGTTATACAACTAATCAACTTTTTATTTTGTTATTATTAATTACATTAATTACATTATGCTGTCCGAATAAGAAGACCCACGTGACATGCTTTCTTTTTTTTTTTTATAAACGTTCATTAACAGTAAAACAGTGTTGAGCAGAGATAATTGTTTTGCTGTGATCAGCGAAAAGAGTCACGCGATTAATCGCTCATCAGAATGCCTGGCGGACAGCAGTGTAGCCAATTTTCCATAGGTTCTTATTGGAGCTCCATACTTTTCGTTGAATAAAAACCACAGAACGCAGTAAAAATAATTTTTTGCGGTTGTTACAATGTCCCGGTACATTTGTGTCAATATGTACAATGTGTACATTATGCACCGTGTTGAATTTTTATAAATTGATAACATGTAATAAATTTGTAAACATCATTGAAAACCATTGCCGACTAGATTTTAAAACGCCCAAAATAAGTTTGGGCGAAACGGGTCCCGCCCGATTAATAACTGCAGTATTCGTATTGTATTCCTCTATATGCGTCGCACGTACGGTTCCGAGGGATTGTCGAATCCGGTCTCCGATACTAATGTAATGTTATCATCACTCGTTTATAGCCGTTATAAATAGTTTTACGGGATTGTTGACCGCAATGTAATCACGATGCTGCGCATGATAATGCGTCGGAATTCATCATTGTGTTTCACCGGTCAGGATTAATAAACCCATTATTATCGGTGTATGATTTATGTTTAGCGCGCCGTATTCGACCCGTAGCATAAATATTGATAACAATCGGTTGGACGCTGTTCGAGCAGTCCGTATAAAAAGCTGCGATCCCCGCGCCACAGCATTTTGACCGCCAACAACGATCTTGCCCTTTAAACTCACGGTTCGCACACGAAACGCGTTTGTTATTGCGGGTTATACCGGGTTCCGGAAAATCTACACGTAGGTGTGCGTTGATGTATTACGTGGACGATGATCGATCAATCTATTGTTTTCGTACGACGCCCACCGTGCTCCGGCCCGGCACCTGAGACTTGTGTAAAAATTACATTGAAAAACATCTATCCGCGGATTCGCGAACATCGACAAGGTTTCGGTAACACGCTGTTTTCTGAGAATAATTCATTGTCGCTAGCGATTGAGAAAGAGAAAAATGATACTTTTGTCCTTCGTGAAAAATTACGTCTACGGACATATTATAATACACCTCGAAACAAAACGGCAGACCTGACGTTCACAACTTTGATTTACATTTTTTATTAGTAGTTTTACTGGATTGTTCATAAGATCTATGGCATAGTATTAACCTTTATTAAAATTTAATTTCATAACGAGCTGTTAACATAGAAATAATTTTATATAAAATCAAAAAACAATTTTAGGTGTGCGTTTTTTAACAATATTTTGTTTTTTTCATCGTCGTCGGAATTATCTAAGTCGGAAAAATTATTACCTTTACATTCGTCCAAATAACCAAGAATTTTATCACGCCCTGGCATTTTCTTTATCACTACCGATTACTACTATTAATGAAATACATTAGGCGAGTTAACAAAAATAACAAATTCGTAGTATAGTTTTACTTACCGTAAAAAAAAAAAAAAAATACATGAAGGATGTTTTGGGGTTTGAAATACCCACAAATTGATATCACTCGGTTTATAACATGATAACAGCTAATCATATTGTTATTATTTTATCAAATAAGTGTTGCCTAATTAGGTACTACAAAAGAAGGAATACATGGTGGTAAAAATTGTTTATAGTTTGATCACAAGGAGTATCACGCAAAATCTTATCACGTGGGATTTAATAAACCCCGACACACTAACGAAGGGTTATCAATCCTCACAACCTCTGGGTATCTACTATCTATTGTTGTATGTTTTGATTATTTACACTAAAATATGACTTGTTTACGGAACACGGTTGTAATAGCCCAACCTGGAAAAAATGGTTGCCCGATTTTTTGGGTTAAATTCACTCTACATTTGTTCAATAAAAACCCCCATTGCCTTTTGGTCAGATTCGTTTTTTTCTTATCAGTTTTTATTAGAGTACATTTTAACACAACTATAAAATGATGAAAACCAGAAAACTAATAATCAATACGATGTATTACAATTATACTATTATCTAATAAACAAATATATTTATAAGGGTACAATAAAAACAACACATTTAACAAGTCATATTATAAAATCACAAATTAAATAAATATGAACAACTTCTTGTAAAATTATTAAAAGATAAACAATTAAGAAGTAATCCAAAAGAAATGGTTAGCTACTTAAACGGTCAAAAGAGTTTAATTATGTAAATAATCGCTATGCGAATGGTAATGTTATGTCGATAATCAAAAAATCTCCGTTAAATTCTGTGTGAAGTGCTTTGATATTAAAAAAAAAAAAAACGATCAAATTTAACTAATTTAACTATCTTTCCATGTCTCGACCCATTCCTTATTTTATATGATCCCAAAAATTCAAACCACGTATTTATTTTTATTACGATAAGTATTATCAATGTACAATATCACTCATACAGCGCCATCATCTTAGATCATATATTATGGATTTAGCTATGCATACACCGAATTGTGTCAAAAATCATCCACATAACTTTTAAAAATTTACGTTAAACGACAAAAATGCGTATGCCCAGGAAATTAGCTAACGGCTTATGATGAATGATACTGTAATAATGATACGTGATAACGTTGAAAATAAAACCAAATTGTTTGATACTGATTTCTAAAGGATGCGCAGTTTTGGCGTGTACCGTGAAATTTTGAAGGTGGTGGATAATGTTGGTCACAATTCGATGCTAGAGCAATTGTACGTGTAGCCACATCCATAGTTTATGATCTAAGACCATCACTCACTTTCACCAGCCCCTTCGGAACCCCTTTCATTGCATGTTCACATTTTCACGGACAGGTGATAGGGTAAAGGAGGTGAGGTGAGGGGATTGAAAGTAGTCAAGTGGTCAAACCGTAAGAGGGAGGTGATATTCAAGTCCCACTTATTATAAAACCGCCGTGCGCCACTAGAATATATGCATAAGATTCGTCGTATGTTTTACCGTACAGGAGAAAATATCACTTATGAACTCGCTACGTTTTCATATTTTGATTTTTTCAATTCGTTTGGTGTCAGCCGTATGATACATTACTCACGTTTACATTACTATACGCACGCTGGTT